GGGATCCAGGGACACATGGGTGGGTAAGGTTATGATCCCAAGGTCCTGGGATCAAATCCAGCTGGGGCTCCCGCTCAGTGGGGAACCTGCTTCTCTCTATCCTTCTATCCCCTGGCTCGTGCTTTCTCTCTCACTCTCTCTCTATCTCAAATAAATAAAATCTTTAAAAATTAAAAAAAAAAAAGAATGCAAGGGATTTAGAATGGCCAAAACAATCTTGAAAAAGCACTAGGTCAAAGCTGTAGTAATCAAAACATTGTGGTGCTGGCGTAAGAACAGACATCTAGATCCACAGAATAGAATTAAGAGTCCAGAAATAAACAAATATTTATAGTCAGTTGATTTTTGACAAAGGGGCCAAGGCAATTCAATGGGGAAAAGAATGAACGATTTTTTAAAATAAGTTTTTGATTTTAGAATAGTTTTAGATGTCCAGAGTTCTTGTGAGAGTAGTCTTTTCAACAAATGTTTCTGGATATCCTCATGAAAAGAATGACTGTGGATCCCTACCTTACACCACAAAAATGAACTTAAAGTGGATCATAGACCTAAATGTAAGAACTAAAACTATAAATCTATTAGAAGAAGACTAAGGAAGAAATCTTTATGACCTTGGGTTAGACAATAGTTTCTCAGATGTGATACACACAGCACAGTGATGTAAGAGAAGATTGATAAACTGGACTTCATCAACATCAAAAACCTTTTTCCTTCAAAGAATATCAAAAAGAACGTGAAATGGCAACCCACAGACAAGGCAATAATATTTGTAAAACATATATCTGATAAAAGATTTATATGCAGGGGCACCTGGGTGTCTCAGTGGGTTAAGCCGCTGCCTTCGGCTCAGGTCATGATTTCAGGATCCTGGGATCGAGCCCCGTGTCGGGCTCTCTGCTCAGCAGGGAGCCTGCTTCCTCCTCTCTCTCTGCCTGCCTCTCTGCCTGCTTGTGATCTCTCTCTGTCAAATAAATAAATAAAATCTAAAAAAAAAAAAAAGATTTATATGCAGAATGTATACTCAACAATAAAAAGACAAATAAGCCAATTTAAAAATGGACAAAGGATTTGAACAAACAGTTCTCCCAAGAAGACATACAAATGACCAGTAAGTTCATGGAATCATGCTCAACATCATTAGTCACTACAGAGAGGCAAATCCAAAGCAAGATGAGATACCACATCGCACCCACTCGGACGGCTAGATTCAAAAAGATAGTCAAGTAAAGTGTTGAGAACGTGTGGAGAAACCACACGTCCCTGGTGGGAATATAAAATGGTGCTCTTTGGAAAACAGTTTGACGGCTCCTCAAAATGGTAGAGAGAGCTTGCTTCGGCAGCACATACACTAAAATGTTAAACCTAGAGTCACCTTATGACACAACCCAGCAGTTCCATTTCTTGGTAGCTACTGAAGAGACACAAAAACATGTCCACACAAACACGTGTACTAGAATGTTCATGGCAATATAGCTCATCATAGTAAAAAATGGCAAGTGGATAAACAAAATGTTTACATCTACACGATGGAATAGTATTTGGGCATAAAAAGGAATGAAGTACAGGGGCGGCTGGCTGCCTCAGTTGGTGGAGCATGTGACTCTTGATCTCCAGATTGTGGGCTCAAGCCCCATGCTGGGCGTAGAGCTTACTAAAAAAATATTAAAAATAATAAAATAAAATAAAATAAATGAACTTAAAAAAAGGGATGAAGTACGGATGGATTCTACAATATGGATAAACTTTGAAAATATTATGCTAAGTCAGAGAAGCCAGATACAAAGGCCACATATCATGTGATCCCATATATATGAAATGGCCAAAAGATACAAATTTGTGGAGACAGAGAGATTAATGTTTGCCTAGCACTGCGGGGAGGGGCAGTGTACAAGTGAGGAGTGACTACTAATGGACACATAGTTTCTTTTTGGGGTAAAAGAAAGCTTCTAAAATTCTATTAGAGGTCACACATTTCTGTAAATATACTGAAATCCATTGCCTTGTACTCTTTAAGTGGGTTAACCTTAAGGTATGTAAATTATATTTTATTAAGTGAATGAGATGAGAGAAATTGGAGGCAGCAAGTATAGACCAGTCTTTCAAAGACTTCCTAGAACGTGTAAAGGTTTAATTTATTGATTTTTTTAAGTACGAGTCTATAACCTCATTTGTTGTAATGAAGAATTCTCTAGATGGGGTAGAGGTTAGGGGGTATGACTGTATTTACTTCTCTGTGTCCCCCAGTAGATTTTCACCCAATTATGATTTTATCTTATTAGAAGCAACCTCAGAACATACAGTGCAGGGCACCTGGGTGGCTCAGTCGTTGAGTGTCATCTGCCTTTGGCTTGGGTCATGATCCCAGGGTCATGGAATCAAGTCTCTCATCCGGCTCCCTGCTCACCAGGAAGCCTCCTTCTCCTTCTCCCACTCCCCCTGCTTGTTTTCCCTCTCTTGCTGTCTGTCTCTCTCTGTCAAATAAATTTAAAAAATGAAAAATGTAAAAAAAAAAACCCCACAATACAGTCTGTGCATCTCACTTAAGCTTACTCATCATTTCTCCTTTCCTTTCCTTTTCTCTTCACATTATCCTGGTCCCACAAGGTAGACTGAAAAAATAATCAGCCTCTCTTCATCTTATTAGAGAAATAACTACCTGTGTACATGAAGTAAGCAAGTTCACCAAGCCTTTGGGGAAGCAGAGTGGGGAGGTGCCCAGAGGCATTTTCTACAAAGAGACAAGGAAAGAATAAACAAGGCTTCTGCCAAAAATGCCTGGAACTTAAAGCGCTTTCCTCAGCTCAAGGTCAGGCTGTGTGTGGACGTTGACAGTGACCCTGATCAGTTGTTGCTGCTCCTTTAATTAAAAGCATGTGGCTTTCTCTCTTCTGAAATTCACCTTTGCTCATTCCACCTGCCTGGGGAGTTAGACCCCTACAGCACAAGTGTAATTCCTCAGAGTGGCAACTGGCAGAGCTCCCAGGAACAAGGTAACTATACCATGTCCCCAGCTATCAGAGGCACTGATCTCCTGAGCCCAGAAGAGGGGTCTCATGACCACTGTGGAAGGACAACTGTGAAGTGGCATTAGTGAGGAGGCCAGCGACGACTCCCTCCCCACTTCCGCAAGGGGCTGGAAATTCCTGGCATTTGTCTTCCTCTTGGAATGAGACATTTACTGTAGGAGAATCATGGAGAAGTACAAACCATGAAATCATAAACCCCAGAAGAAGTTACCTCCAAGGTCATCTTTATCCCGGGCCCAGATGCCCCCAGAAGGAGATGTTCTTTTTCCAGCCGTCCTCATCTTGGCTTGAAAACAGCCACTGACAAGCCTCTCACTCTGCCCTGGAAAGGCAGCAATGCCTGATAGGGCAGTGCTAAGGGCAGTGACTCCCACCAGCAGGTCCGGCGCTCTTCCTGTCACCTCCAGCTCCTCCTAGGCCTTGAAACACACCATTGTTCTAGCTCCTTCTCTAACTCTTGGGGTCTTTGAGAGCTATCTTGTCTTTCTTCCCTGTAGTCTCTTCTTGCCTGTTCCAGACTTGGGCCTTTAGCTGCGCTGACTGCCCCCCCTTTTATGCGCACGAGTCCAGGGGGGCCAAATCTGGGCCTTGTGCCCTCTGAGGTACTCTGTCCACTGTTCTTTCACAGCCTGCATCCACCACACACTACCAGACCCCTCTTGCTTTGTCTTCCCATCCCAGCTTTGTATCCCTACTTGGACCTGACCATGAACGTGCTCTTCTGACCCCTCTGGGTGTCCTCCTAAGACTCAGACCTTGTGTTGACCCATCAAGAGGACATGAAGCCCACTACTCTAGACAGATCATCCCTAATTGTTCTATTCCTTCCTTGTGCAATTGGTTTCAAGCCCCATCATTACCATTATCTTTGCTCATCTGAACCAGGCTGCCCTTGGTCATTATTCACACATTCACTCCAGCCACCGACCATGGTGGTTCAGAACACAGGATCCGATATCAAACAATCCAGGCTCTGCCATTAACCAGCTGTGAAACTTTAGAGAAATGTCTTCATCTTTCTGAGCGTCCATTTTCTTATCTATAGAATTGAAAACAATAATAGTACCTAACCTCATAACTTTGTCATGATCATAATGATAAATGAAATAATCTTTGCAAAGCACTTAGAACAGAGGCTCAAACATTCACTGCAAGTATTCAGTATATGTTTTCTATATTTTATTTTAAAATTATCATCTAAACGTATCGAAATACATTCATTCATCACGCATTTACTGAGTCCCATGCTGGCCCAAAGATATAAATACTCTTTTTAAAGAGTGGTGCCCTCTTAAATCCAGGAGGTACAGGCTCACGCAGGTACCCAGAGAGCAAGAAGCTGAGGCCCAGGGCCATTAAACAAAGGCACTGACCACTGGGCATTGCCCTGGGAATGTGGCGAGAGCACCTTCTGCCCTTCCACATGACTTTTAATACCACCTCTCCTCCCTGGTTAAGGCAGCACCACAAAGAAAAAGGGGGATTCCAGAGGGAGAGGTGAGAAATCCCCAGAGAAACACCCTCTTCTGCTTCTCTCTTTGACAGAGAGTGGCCAGGCCTCTGCTATGCAGGAGGGTGATGTCCCTTGGGGAGGCCTTGCTGAATCTGCCTGGGACTGTTCCGGAAGTAGGAAGGGCGGCTGGGGGTGGGGAGACAGCAGGAATGTTCTCCTGGCTTGCTGCTCCGTACAGGCGAGTGTGCTGAGAGGAGGGCCTCTGGACATCAAAGGTTCCTTTTGTCCCCTTCCCAGTGGCAGGGCAGCCAGGCCGCTAGCGATGACTCAGGCCTGGCCCTGACGTCACCCACGCCCGGCCACTGGCCTCCCTCTGCAGCCAGGAAACTGGCTGGGGAGTGGCACTCGCAGCTGCAGCAAATCTCAAAATAAGGAGGCAACTGCTTCTCTCTTCCTCCTCTCCATCTCCCCACAGCACACCTTTCTTTTCTTCTTCTTTTTCTTCTTTTTTTTTTTTTTAGCCTCATGGAAGGTTTTGCTTGTAGATCAGCTTTCAAAATGTAGGAAGTCAGAATGGGTGACATCATCAGAAAAATATGTGGAGCTGATCTCAACAAGAAGTGAAGAACCCAGAGCAAGAAAGCGGTTATAACTCCTGAGTCCAGGGAGCTGGCAACGTCTGGGTTTCGGAGGAGCCAGTGTCTCTGAGTAAGTGAAGGCCCACCCCTGGCCCCCCTCACTCAGCGCCCTATGCTGTGGGGCGCCATCTTGTTTCCTGACACCTGTGGCTTGGCAGGATCCAGCCCAGCGAGAGGGAATGGGGTGCATTTGGGAGACCTTCCAAAGACAGCACCAAAAGTATTTTATCTGATCTCTTTCTTCTCACAGGACGAGACAAGAGTGCATTTCCTCTCAAAATAATAATAATAATAATATCTCTGTGTGTGTGTGTGTGTGTGTGTGTGTTTGTGTGTACACATATGTATAGGCTGAAACCCTGGGGAAAATGGCCCAAGTCGTTCTTTCCCCGGTCAACCCTCTTGTTTTGTCTCCTCTTCCTCCTCCCGCCCTAGTACTCTGTTTTGGACTGCCGAATGTTTGTTCAGAGTTCTGAACTGATTGCTTCCTGGATCTTAAACTGGGTAATCAGACACAAAAAGAAACCCTGTTCTAGTCAAATATGTGCCCTATGCTGTCAAATAGTATTTTTGCTCTTAACCTGGTAAAAGATGGCAGCCCTGGTAAGAAAACATCTGCAACCTGCCACCTTTCCAGAGCGTGTCTGTGGTTGCTCTGATTGTCATATGCACGCTCTTCCATTGTTTCATCACCGTGTTTATAGAGAGCTTATTTTAATTCCTACTTGTGCCATTGCATCTGGAATGATATTAAACACAAAGACAGATATAATGTACCTCTGATGTCTGTTTTAACATCACCTAAAAAACTTAAGTCTTCACATAGCCTACAATTTTACAAGCTCTGAGAGTCCCTAACTAGGGAAGTTAAGTTCCTGAGAGAAAAGTTAAAATGTGTACCTAAGAACTGCAGAGCCCGTAGATGAGAAATCATACCCAGTGTTCCTAGTTTCCAGTGTCATCCCCTGAGTCAGCGCCTCGTCTTGTAGAGCTTACTTAGCGGAGTAGAATCATTCTTTATAAATTCTATTTTATAATGATTGGAGGGGGATGTAGTAAAGAAATAAATCTTATTTTAAAGACAATAGGGAAGTTTGTCATTTACTGGAAAACAGTGGCAAATTCCGTTGTAACCTAACAACACATTTAGAAAGTAACCATATATATTTGTTTTGTAATTCTAATGTGTTTGTACATCTTACATTTATTTTTTGTTCTATTTTAATATATCAGGTTGTCTTGAAGTGAGACTCTGCTGAATTTCTACTCTTCTGGCTTTAAGATCTGAATGCTGTGACCACTGATTTGGTGAGTGTCATTCGCCCCTAATGGCTGCTTAAATTTAAGTTTACAAGTTCTATTCTCTTGGTTTACAGTAAAATTTAAGGAGGGGGAGAAGGCATGGGAACTTCTGCACACATGAAAAACAGCGGTATCCAAAAGGACATGTAAGAGTTAGGATAAGCTAATTGCCGTAATGGACTGAAAAATGTATTCAGGCTCAAACACAACAGAAGTTTATTTCTTGCTTATGTAACAGGGTGTAGTGGGGCAACTCTCACACATTCCTTCAGAGCTACAGATTGAGAGAGGTTCCACCTTCTGCAGTGTGTGGTTTTCAAGGTCACCGGGACTGCCCCACTCCCCAGCGGAAGAGAAGAAGGGTGTGAAAATTGCACATGGAAGATTATCACAGGCCATGCCTAGAAAGGATGTACAACACTTGTACTGACAGTAGCTTGACTAAAACTCAGTCACATGACCATGTCTAACTGCAAAGCATTCTGGGAAATGTAGTCCCTAGGGAGGCAGCCACTTTCCAGTAATGGCTCTGGGGAGTTTCTGGGTATGAGGTAGTCCTCTCTGGCACAGCATGATAAAGAACTGAGAGATGCTCAAGGGTAAGGGGGCAGAATGAATCAATGAGAGAAGCAAAAATTTAATCAGATATTTAGTATTCCCTGACTAACTCTCTTCAGTAACATCCAGCTGTATCAGTAAAGAGCAGTGAGTGAGATTTTTCAAGACCCTTCTGTTCTTTCCAACCCTGAACCTTTATATGAGCACTACCATGCTGCCGGTGGCTGGTATATGAAGAAGGACATTCTTCCCCTTGTTTTCCCCTCCAGGGTCCTCTTAGTCTGGGAACATTTTGGTTTTGTTTCCTGGTTTGGGGTCTAGTCATGCTAGTTGGAATTGTCCAACAGAATTCTGTCCCCCCAACTTTGAGCTCTGGTAGCCTATTGGAAATCTCGTGGTTTCTTTAGCTCATGATTCTGTCTGCTCCTGGGAGCTTTCGGAAGCTACCCTGCCTGATCTGCTCCAGGTTTGGGATGCTTTTTAATCTTGTGAGTGTTGGGTGGGGTGGGGGAGGTGGAATCCCTGACTAAGATGGGATCTTCACACCAAGTTATTAGAGAAACATTTAAAAGTAGATTTAAAAGGCTCAGACTGGAGAGATTAGTGCAACCATAAGGCTTTGATACATAATTCTAGCTTTTTCTTCTCAAGAAAAGTTTCAAAACATATACTGAAATAATGAGTGGTAAGGCCATAACCCCTGTTTGGAGAACTCTAAGCTAATTTTATACTTTATGTAGCCTTTTTGCCATTGTTGGTCTTAGCGGAGAATTCCCCTGCTGGTAAATACCAGAAACCATATGTTGGGTGCCTTATGATGCCCCTCAGACATCATAAAAACTTCCAGTAAAAATGGATTACATATGCTTGCTTCAGCAGCATGTATACGAAAATGGACTACAGTCTTTGCCTGAGCTAGTTCTCTAGTCTTATTGTTGATATCTGGCTAGACACTGGTTTCTGATTGAATTTTGCCCCTGGACTTGACATTTCTGGCACCCACACCCACACCCTGGAGAACACACATTGCCCATTGTGTGGGAAGGCCAGCTATTGGCCAATATGACCCAGCCTTTCAGGCTCTCTCGGAGCCTGGTGCCTGGCCTAGTCTCCTGTTACTGCTGCCTTGCCTCTGCCCAGGGTCCTCACATCAGGAGTGGTCTAAGGAGCAGTGGGATAAAATAAGTTGATTGGTTGCAAAAATGCTTTAATCTCTTCCAGTTCATTGGCTGTGTCTTGATTGGTCCTGGAAGAGTCTAGGGAACCAAGAGCCAGTAGAGGAAGCTAAAGAGAGGACCAAGTTGAATGGGGGAATACAGAGCCTGCTTAGGAGTGTGCAGCCAGAGGAGTTAGTTGACAAGTGCTAGTTTTCAAAAGCTAGAGCCAAGTGGGGTCAATCTGTTGCCCAATGTTCCAGTCTAACAGAGTCTGCCAGGAAGGGCAAGGCCAAAGGCCATAGTCGAGGAGGAAAGGTGGTGGGGTCCATTCTCTTGGGAGACTTGGTAGTCACAGTTTGTTAATTTCAACTACCATGTGATAATGACTCCTCAAAGCACTAAGTATGCAGGAATTGACATATGAATATGTATGTGGAGGCATCAGCCTCCTGATTTCTGATGGCTAGCTACATTGATAGCATGACAAGGAGGGATGTGGAATCGCCAAATCAGAATTTCAGTATGTCAGCCCAGTTCCTCCACAGGGTTGGTACAACATGCTGAGTGACCTCACAGACACACCAACAAGGCAGGGGTAAAGTATACACTTTGTAAATATTTTGGTCTTCAACATTTTCAATAAAGTGTCAAAGTAGACATCATGGGGAAAATTTGACTTTTCTGGAGCTTCCTTAACTTTAAGCTTATATTTTATGATTTAAAAAATTTTTAATTCCGTGTGTGGGGTATAGTTAAAATTTGGGGCACCATATTCTTTTGGGAGCTTAGGTCACCTAAAGAGCTTAGCCTGGACCTGTTATCTGTGACATGCAGACATGAACTGAGCCCAGCAGGCTGACGAAGGCAGTGCCTAGACCCGTTGGTTGTTTTTCATCCCAGGGATTTTACTCTTTTCATAGTACAGAAGTACAAGCCCCCTTCTTACCCTGGGTCAGCATTTATGAATGTTCTCTTACTCCCTTTAAAGGGTTTTGCAACAAGGCCACGTCATATTCATCAAAGCAAAGAATTCATGGTAATAGGGCCTTGTAATTTCTCTTGCTGAAATCCCCCGATTTCTTGTCAAGAACGAAGCTGGAAAACACCACACTTGAAGACTTCACGGTTTTGTTTTTAACTCAAGAAGCCTCTGCTTTTCATCAGAACTTGAAAGCTTCCTCCCGCTTCCAAAATGGTATTTTTAAAGGATGTAAAACTGAGATTCTGTCAGGATAAATAAAGTATTATATGTGAAATGGTTTGGGCAACTTAGAACAATGTATGGCAAGTCAAGGTGTTGATGAAAATAATTATAATTAGAGTCAGCATTGGTGTTTTAGCTTTTGATAGTGGTATTAATAGTTTAAGTCTCATCATCATTAAATGTTTTGTCTCTCTCTCTTTTTTGTTAAAGATGTTATTTATTTATTTGAGAGAGAGAGAGAACACAAGTGGAGGAGAGCAAAGCAGGGAGAGCAACAGCAGGGGGGAGGGAGCCTGACTCCAGGGAACCTGACTTGGGGCTTGATCCCAGGACCCTGGGATCATGACCTGAGCTGAAGGCAGTCACCTACCCCACTGAACCCCCCAGGCACCCCAATTTTTTTTTTCTTTCTAAATTGACTTTCCTCTGAGGTCCTTAGTACCATTCCCTAACTAGCCACAGCATGTGGTGTAAAATTTTCAAGGTCATTTGAAAGGTTTAACTGTAGGCCAGAAGCCTAACTGAGAGGATTCTAATCTTATTCTGAGAGAGGTTTGACCCCAGGGGTTGGGGGGAATGGCAGTCACTGAAGTCTGTGAGAGAGGATGGGTTTGAGGCATCTCTCTGCCAAAAAAAAAAAAAAAAAAAAAAAAAACACCAAAAACCCAAAAGCAAAAACAGTGTTCCCTGGCATTCTAGGGGGCTCCCAGTGCATTGGCCAAAGGAGGCCTTGAAACCAGTCCACAGAAGCATTGTGCTCGGGTAGTGTCTCCCAAATGAGAGTGGAGTCCATTGCCCGCCCAAAAGCCCCTAATCCTGAGGGCAGCCGTCTGCCTGGTGTTATGGGGCAGGGGATTACACACAGAGTCAACAAGCATGAGTTCAACGGAAGAGCAGGAAAAAAGGTGTGCTTTCAGCTGTGAGCTCCCCTCTGTGTCCCAGATCCTGTAGTCTGTTAGCTTTGGATGTAGTGGGAAGGTAGTATCTAGTGAAAGGCCTTTCTCACTGACCCAAATTCCTTGGTGTCAACTATACCAAGGTATTTCACAAAAGAGAATGTAGCTTAAAATTCACCCCAGGTACCAGACTGAGTCTGAACCATACTCCTCCTAAAATGCCACTCTTCCCTCCCTTTCACTCTACATGAGGCAAATTCCTTTTTTGTTTCTTTTAAAATATTTATCATTGTGTTTCAGATGTAAAGTGTCCTAACTACCTACTGTACAAAATCTGGAAAATACAGAAAAATATCAAGGAGAAAACAACAGTCTCCTATAATCCAACAACCAAGCAACAATTCTGTATTAACATTTTGATCCATTTATTTCCAATTTTTCATATATATATATATATATATATATACACACACACATACACACACACACGAATTATTTGACATTGTGTTTTGGTATTTTATATGCTTTTTCTCACCCTACTTACAATTATGTTGTAAACATTTTTCCAAGTCACTAAATGGACTATGAAATTTTGATTTTGATTTTATTTTTTTTTTAAGATTTTATTTATTTATTTGACAGACAGAGATTACAAGTAGGCAGAGGCAGACAGAGAGAGGAGGAAGCAGGCTCCCTGCTGAGCAGAGAGCCCAATGTGGGGCTCGATCCCAGGACTCTGGGATCATGACCTGAGCCGAAGGCAGAGGCTTTAACCCACTGAGCCACCCAGGCGCCCCAAAAATTTGATTTTTAATGACTGCATTTCCATTGCACTGATCTGTCTTAATTTATCCATTTTTTTTTGGATGGGCATTTTGATTGTCTGCAGTGCTCTGCTGTTATCAGTCTGTAAACATTCTTGTAGAAAAATCTTTGTGCACATCTTAGGGGAAATTCCTAGAATTAAATCAGTAGGTCAAATGACTTGGTTTTGAGGTTCCTAATGCACACTGGCAAATTAGCCTCCAGAAAGACACCAGTGTCTATTTCAAAATCTAAGTCCCCTTCAATTTCTCATGTTAAAACTCATGCTTCTAGACCCCAGTGGCATCAGAAGCTCTGAGGAGGGAGCCTAAGATTATGCTTTTTAACATACCCTCCTAATCCTTATGCATGTTAAAGCCAGAGAAC